TTAACAGTCAATCTCGCGAAATAATAGCCAATGTTATAGAGTTTATGAGAAGAGAAGGAAACTTTAATTCACCTTCAATACCATTTAAAAATGTAAATGATCGTGTTGCTGCAGCCACAGGAGTATCTAAAAACACTGTCGTCCGCATTTCTGGAGAGAAAAAAAGAATCGATAACTGTGAGATATCGGAATTTTCATCACCAAGAAAAACCATTAAAAAACCAAAAACAGTTAATGATATAGATGAAGCTGCACAAGAATCAAATTTTATTTTTTTATTATTAGATAGCTATTTTTGTTTCTGAGTTGTATTCATTTACAGGCTCAATGTTTTTCCGTTTCTCCTTTTTGATTTTATATGGGGTTTCAAGTTGTTTTTGACTTATTTCGACGTAAATCACAACAACACACTTTTTTAATAAAGCAAACAAGTGTTAAGAGGTATATGTACGTGTAAACTACAATTACAAAAAATTGATATGAAACCCATGAAACCACCAACAAAAATGTAAAGCTAGCTTCCGTACTAGAACATGGTGTCATTCGTCGAGATAATTTATCGTTTTGATTAATAGATCAAGAAATGTAAATATTCCCCTGTTATTTTTTATAAAATTATAAGAGAAATAAATTTTTTTCTAAATAGTATAGTTTATTATTTTGTAGAAAAACAAAATTTCGAAAATTTTAGTAATGTTTCAGAAACAACCGTTATTAATAATAGGTACCATTTTCCTTAATAAGGTAGAAATAAAATATAAACTATTTCCACGATTTACAAAGGCCTACAAAAAAATTATAGGTATTTTCCGCTATCCTATAAAATTTATATTTTCTGACTCAATTTCAAAAGGTTGAAGGAATTCCAAAACACCTTTTATGGATAATAATTATTTTCAATTCTACATACTATCTTTAGCTGCTTTTAAAAACGTTCTAAGAAAGTCCAATCAGACCAATTTAATCCCTAAACTATTCCACACTTTTAAAATTTAATTACCTAAAAATATTAAAAACTATTTAAAATAACTTGTTTAGCAGACTGTACAATAGCTATCTTAGTCACACGTAGCGCGTTCTCTGTCTGGGCGTCGAACACCTCTAGAAATTTGATGAACTGTACTGGCACAAGAGTAGAGGAAATAGCAGCGGAAATAGAGCAACGGCAAAGAGCAGTAGCAAAGAGAAAGCATACTCGAGGTCTTATACTTTACGCTCGGACTAGTTCGGTTTTCGAGTGGTTCGGTTCATTTACAAATCGGAAGACTGAAAAAAATGTCCTTTTGAGTTTTACGAAAATGTCCAGATAATTTATCTGAATTTGAATGTTTCAAGCTGGACTCAAATTTCAGTAAATATTTATATATTAAGAACTACTACGCTGCCGTGTTAATTCAAATGGCCGTAACTGCAATTTTCCCTGAAATAAAGATATGGCCACTACGCCTGACAACAATGAATTTTTTGTTCATCTCTATAATTTTCATGGATATATATTCTATAAAATCAGAGATTTAACGCTTTTTGGGCGTAAGTGATTTTTTTTGAAAAGTCGATTTTTCTCACGTTCATGTATTAAACAGATACGGCCATTTGAATTAACACGGCAGTACGGTGGTTTTCACAAATGGTCAAAAACGGGAATTTATAGGAAATTAAAAATACGACGGTTCTTGAGAACGTTAACGTGCGGAAATTAACTCAAACTAAACATTTTTATAATTAAACGTAAGGGAATATTTTGGGACTCGCACATTTATAAATATTGACGAATAGCGTCACTGTCAAGGCAATGGCCATAGATTACCCAGATACGAAAGTTGACAAAGAACATCAAAATTAAGAGAAAGATAAATAGCCATAGATACCAATTTAAAGGTCCCTCGTAGCAACTCGTTTCCACTCGCCCAATTCCGAAGGCAAAAGTTGTTTCATTATGCGAAGTTGTCCAGTTTCTAGGTTTTCTGATGTTATGTGACAATTTTAAAGTTTATAATTTATATTTATTAATGACAATCAATGACCCCTTAAAAAAACGCGTGAAATTTTAATTTTTTATGTGACAACCTTACTTGGCTGCTGTGAGGTGACATTTCGGTGGCATTCAGGACAATCAGGACCGGTCGTGGCGCTTTGCGTTTGGTGCACTTTTGGACAAAAACATTGTGTATTTGTGTCTAGTCTTTTTGTGTAAACAAATCATGAGTGAAATGAAGAATGTGGTGGCATCTACGACAGGTATAAAATATCTTCGAATTCATAGCTGTAACATTTGTGAACACTTTTCTACTACAATATCCTTTTTAGGTAGCAGCAACATTTTTATTCATTTGAAAGCTTATGATATCAAATCATTATTTGGAAGTATAAAAACACCAACCGAATGTACATTTATCGGTTGGAATATTTATTTTTTGAAAATATAGGAAATTATTCACCTTATCCCACACCTATAAATAATTTGTTTAATACAGTTCCAAGGATTTACATGCCCTTGTCAACATTTTCCTTATAGCCCAAGAGCCCACTGCAAAATTTTACCCTCATACGAAATGAAATATACCCCAAAATCATGTAAAAACATTATACTTTACTAAATGGCACCTGTACCAATCCCAATCCTGAGCAAAGTGGCTTAAAAAAATTATTTTATTTTAAAAAAATCACATAAAACATGACAGCGCTAATTTTGTTTGCCCTTAAAATTTTCCAGAAAATATCATTGAAATATATCTTGATATATATCGTTAAAGGGAAACATTTTTTTCCTCTTAACATTGCACAAAAATATCTATCCACGATTAGTAGTTAAAAATCATTAAAAATATGAAACAATTTTTGCTGATTTAAAAATTTATTTGTATGCCTATTGTTGTGATTCATTTTTACAAGTTGCCATAGAAACGACAAAAAACTACTATGATTATGGTTTAAAAGAATTGTCTAAGAGTTTATAATTATTATGGACTATCTCGGCAAATGGTCTATACAATGCCATCCTTCTTCCTTTCACACATAAACATGGTTTAAATGGTAGGTAAAAATATTAATAATTCAGGTTTAAAAGCTAGGTTCACAATGAATTAGGGTTGTAATTTTCAGGGAAAACGCAATTGTCGCTGTCATGTCTTATGTGATTTTTTGAATATAAAATAATTTTTTTAACCACTTTGCTCAGGATAGGGATTAGCACAGGTGCAATTTGGTAAAGTACAATGTTGTTACATGCCTTTGGAGCATATTTCATTTCGTTATCAGATGACGGTCGAAATTTGCAGTGGGCTCTCATACTATTACGACTACCTTTTAAAGTTGTTTATTTGTCTTCGAATATTTTACCTAATAAAATTCGGCAATAGAGAAATTAGAAATCAGCCAAAAAAAAATAAAGGAAGATATATATTTTAAGTACCTAATGTCTAATGAGTGCTTTACATCTTAGAATTTCTTCAATAACTAATTCATTCATGAAGCTGCTTCATGAAGAATTTGATAGATATAAAACTAAAACCAAAGTTAAGGACCTTCATGAATAAATGGTCTGTTTTGCATTTTCATCCGATTTAACTTTAAAGTTCAGAAGTATCAACCTCCCCAACAATTTATTCATTATGGGGTTTGTGGCTACATTCGATAGAAGTTCTATTGTCCTCATTTTTTTTACAAATGTTGTGTTGGTGATGAATTTATATTGTATCCCAACTCAACAAACAATGAATTGAAGCCCTTGATGTAAAAAGGATGCCTGTCACAATTTGTCATGAAGTTACTGTTTTAGCTCAAAACATCTCTTAATAAGGATACTAGCCACATACCAATTTTTTTTACCTCTCATTCGAAAGATGACGCTATTTTTCGTAATATTTTTATTTAAATAGTTTTTTAAATTTATAATTGATAGATTGAAAACAAATTTAAAACTCAATTTTCTCAAAACTTACGATGTGGCATATAACCTTATTACGCTAAGGTCTCGAATTGCCGGGATATTGTTGGCCTTCTGCTATAATTGAAGGGAAAATGAATGCGACGATTGAAAGCTAAAAGCCTGATATTGGTATTTTGATAGTGGCCCAGCATTATGTTGGTTGATGATGGCTATATGAAGGATAACTGTATTGGGTAAAAGCGAGGTAAAAGTTAAAAGGCCTTTAACTGCCGCACACCCAACTCCCAACAGTCCAGGAGGGCTCCATCTCGCGTTCATAGATGGAGACACCGATAATCGCTTGCTTTATACTCAACAAGTGGACATGTACTATGCGGTCAGTTTTGAATTGCTAGTATACACTTTTGATTGTAATTTATTACTTTTACATGTTGCTAATTTAGAATATTTAATGAATACACTTTTTGTAGAAGATATTTATTAATTAAATAAAATGTCTACAATATTCTATATTGGAGTGAATTCTGTTTTAGTTATAGAATTTATACTTCAAATGGTAATATAGTGGTTAAAGGAGCAGTATCAAATCGCCGTCTGGTCATGTGCCTGGCACATGGCCTCTATTTAGCAGTCAGTATTAACATGCTAAAAGGCCTGCAATGTCCCTTTAATTTCCCATCAATAGGCCATTAATTACCAATTTTGAAATATAAATACAAATTGTATTCCCTTTCTTTTAAAACACACCTTGTATATCTAGGTATTATCTTTTTAGTTGCCAAAATGTTTGTTTCATTAATGTTTAAAAATGAATCTCCTATCGGCAGATTTTTTACCATACAAGTGCTGCTACTATACATTAAACCATGCATTATCTAACCCGACCCTAGCATCCAATACACATGTTGAGAAGAAAGTCATATTTCGTAAAAACTATTGAAAATAATTAAAATTGGCAACATCTATGCCATACCCATTTAAAGTTCAAGGTCATAGAAATCTCATTTCAAAATGATCTTTTGCCGCGTTTCGCATCTGTTGTGGGTAATCTGTGCAATGGCTTTATATTAACAAAATATTTCAAAATATTGAACTTTTCTTTTAATTACAGATACATTTTTGTTACTGATCTGGAACCCACATACGCTAGAACAGTCTTTCCTTGTTTTGACGAACCTTCTTTCAAAGCAAAATTTAATATAAGACTAATCTCTCCAAATAATACATTCAGAGCCATTTCGAATATGCCTGAAATTGTAAGTATATTTTTTTATTACATTTATATACACAAGTGATCAGCCAATGATTTCAAAACTTGTTTTGAATGTGCTAACATTATTAGCGAAGCACTTGCAGGGTGTTAAAAAATTATTTTCAATATCTTTAATATGTTTTAGAAAAGATTCAATACAACAAACGAATCGAATGTATATGATTTTACTACATCGGTGAGGATGTCAACTTATTTGTTATCTTTTGCTTTTACCGACTCGAAATATACATATTATGAAAAAAATTTCGAACACAATGGAAAAATAATCCCAATCAGGATTCATACTGTTAATGCTAGCGAAGCAAATAACAATTTTGCTTTTCAATGTGCTGCATCAGCCTTGAATTTCTACTCGGAATATACAAACATAAGCTATCCCATGCAAAAGTTAGGTAAGTCAAAGATTATTTTATTTAGTATGATATTTTAAATAATAACCTAGTAGTTTTTACATATATTTCATAATAACGAACATACAGTTAAGCCACAACCAACTCCACAGAAAACCACCTAACCAACTTCTATTTAGAAACAAAAAGAAAACGTTGCTAAAATTGATCATATTTCTTTAATTTGTAAGATCTATTATTGAATAATAAAAAGATTAATTATTCTAGAAGTTGTCATAGGGTCCCGTAGCGTCGATCCAATTCTTACCCGAGTTGCAGCTCCGCAACGATACCCTATGTGTATGGACACCATACAAGTACCCCAATTAACCGAATCCGCAAACACTCATTTTTGCAATCACACATATAGAGTCACTCTTACGTCGACACAAGTACTTGTGGTTTTACATCTAGCATTCGTACTCGAAAGCTAGAAAAGTTATTTTAATTTTTAATATTAAATTCATGCTAAATAATCAATCACGAAGTAATCCTAAAGTTCGGAGACTAGTTACTCTTTCTCACGGGAACAACTTCGAACATTCATATTTCCGTATTTCATTTATACCCGAATGAAATACCTACATACATTATTTATTTATTTTTCAGCAATTTGGAGACGCCCCGTTTAGTAACGTGGCTCATTTCTTTTTATTTAATTATTATTTATATCCTATCCTAGTGATTGTCGGTTACTTGCTAATCGACATTCACCTTCTCCTATCGAACCCGCTTGACTGAGGGAGGCTTTTATTATTTTTTTTTTTTCTTATTTATTTATTAATTTTTTTTTTATTTAAATAAATTCATTAGTTTAGAACCTTTAACGTAACTTAGTTAACAACTTAATATACTTTAAAATCATTTCAATTCATTTTAACGTATTCCAAAAATGCATCACAACAATCAAGATAATTTCACCGCCGACCTCAGAAGGGCATTTCCTTCAGGGCACGGTACACGGGGAGAGTTCTATGGCTTTTCCCCGGGTACTCCCGCCCCAGAGCAAAATGCCACCTTGTGGAGACAGCCGAACTCGGCTATAAATTTAGATGATTTTTATAATTTTAACAATTTTCAAAATAACGACACAACCCGACGGTTTGCCAAATCCCCGCCGTCTGGGCCCGAACCTACCCTGGGAGTACCCAATTCGTTTGAATTGGGACTTCAATCATCATATACCCCCATCGAGCGTCGGCCTACACACGGCAAATGTAGGTCAGGGGGAAGTTTCCCTGGTGAAGTGCTTCACAGTGTTGGTGGTTTCGAGGAGTTCGCTACGCTCTCCGAATTATCCACTAGTACGGCCATATCTCCCTCACGACCCCTTCTTAGCGAAAGAGCGGGGTCAGGGCAAAACGACCTTCACCCGAGCGAGACCCGACGACAAAGTAAGAGAAATGTACTTTTATCAAAAGTAATACAAATTTTATCAATTACATTTTTAGTTTCCACTAAAACGTCTTTATTTGGAAAAAGCACGAAAACAAACCGAATCCAGGAACCCGATTATTGAGTTCACTGGAAATTTTGAACATCGGAAAATATTACACTGCTCGTTTTCACGAAATCAACATTCCCATGGAATCGGTTTATCTATTTATCTGAATTAGAGAGTGGTTTAAAACCCACTCATACTGAAACTCTAGGCTTATTGTACCTTTCACAGTTTCTACCCCATTAGGTTAATATTCCTAAAGAATTCAAGAATATGTCTGATGGGAACTTCCGCGATTTCTCTATGTTTCTGATATTGTACCAAGAAGTGGCATTCCTCTTCCCATTTAAGGTTCCGGTAATGACATAGTATGTGGTCAGAGTTTCGTCATCCTCTTCACACATAGAAAGTCGTCAGAAATCCCTATGAGATGTAGGTGTCTTCTGAGGCCGCAGTGTCCCGTAAAGAGTCCTACTACGGGTTTATGTTCGCTTCTGCTAAGATTTGGCAGTTGATTTTGTCTTTTCTTGGATGGACCCTCTATGAATATTTTGGACTGTCTAAGTCCAAGAAGTTCCAACCAGAGCCTATAGTGTTCTTTATTTATCTGTTCTGTTAGTATCCATATAACATGTTGATATGAAATACCACATGTAGGTCCTGATCCAATTAGCTTTTTCTCAGTCCCCTTTCTAGCTAAGAAGTCTACTTTTTCGTTTCATAACACTCATTCATGTTCCGGCACCCATTCAAGAGTAATGTTATGTTCTGCCAGGGCCTGGAGGGACTGTTGGCAATTAAATATTAATTTAGATTATACTTTACCCTTTTCAGTGCTTTAAGGGCCGCCTGACTGCCTGTCATGATAAGACCCTTTTATCTCTAAAAGAGTCATTTAGCATAACTTTGGCGCAAGCATTTATTGCTGTTACTTCAGCCTAAAAGATTGTTGTCAGTGGCCCCAGGTTCAGACTAATGGTCCTCCCTGAGTGCACATGGTAAATCCCAGCTCCTGTACTGTTTTTCATTTTCGAACCGTTTTTGTACCAGATTGATTCCTTTTTGTATATCCCGGCTTTTGGTCTTTACTGGTATTTGAATATCGAAAGGTTTCCTAAAGTCATGAATAATAGGCGTTTTATTTCTCTAATATAATTGTATGGTGACCTTTTCTCGAAAGATCCCATTCAAATCTATTAGTGAACAGCCTGATGCGGCTGCCATAGCCTCCTTCTCCACCACAAGGTGTAATTGAGGAAGACCTAGCAGTAACTCCATTGCTGCAGTGGGCGTAGTTCTAAATACCTTTGTTAATATTAGACAGGCCAGTCTGTGTATCTGCTAGCTGTTATGCCTTTAGCCTTGTTCCATCATATGACTGATGAATAAGTTATAACGGGTACATGGCTTAAACCCCCATATGTTCCCTACCATCCGTCTACAGACCCACAGTATTACAGCTTTTTCTGCAGAAGCTAAGCTTATCAGCAAGAGTGATTTCAAGATACTTAACCTTTGACATTTTTAGATGCTGTCACCACATGTAAAGCTCCTTCATTCTTTGAAGGTTCCTTTTTCTTGTGAATGCCACGACAGAGGTTTTCGTCGGGTTTGTGGACAATCCCTCTTTTAGGCACCATCTTTCGACGATATTTAGTGCCTGCTTTATCCTTTTGAAAACAACAGCCTCAAATATATTACCGTTCACTACGATGCTTGTCGTCTGTAAATGCTTGTGTATGTAAGTTTTATATCTCTAACTCCAATAAGAGATCATTAACTACCAAGGTCCGCATGAGTGGAGATAAGACTCCTCCCTGCAGACATCCCTTGTTAACTGAGACCTCTCTTGTTGTTTTAAATATATTACTGGTAATGGTTCTATTATTAGGCCTGAACTCAAACCACTACGTAATGTAGTGTGAGTGTGCTACGCCACGTCTACACATAGATCCCAGTATTGAATTATAGGCCGAATCCAAAACTACTAGTGCTATTTCTCTGCTTTCCAATGCTTGTTTAGCCTTTTGAGTGAGCCTATGTATGGCTGAATCGCAAGTCTTTCCAGACTGGTATCGATGTATCGGGTTATCCCGTAGAACATCGTTCCGTATATAGTATATATCGATCAATTTCTCCAAGGTTTTTAGGAGAAATGATGTTAGGCTGATTGGTCTAAAAGATTTGATCTCCGCGTAAGACGCTTTCCCTGGTTTAGGAATGAAGACAACTCTTGCAAACCTCCAGCTTTGTGGAACATATCGGAGTACTATGCTAGCTCGGAATAGTTACACAGTGGTCCCTCCAGTACTTCCTGGCCCTTTTGTAGAAGTGCCGGGATTATATCATCAGGCTCAGCTGTCTTATATGGTTGAAAGGAATTTATCACTTATACGTTTTGTTCTGTTTCCTATTGTGTTTGTAAGAGACAAATTTGTTTGTGAGGCCCTAGGAATTAATACTTCAACGATAATCTCACATTCAGGGAAAAGTGACTTTAGTAGTAACTCTAAAGTATCATGTGTGTTTATGAGTTCTTCTTGTTGATTTTTCAGAGAATCCATGCATCCTTGCTTATCTCTCTGTAGAGTTTTCCTTAGTCTAGAATATTCTGGAATACTTTCATTGTCGTCACAGAATTTCTTCCAGGAATTTTCTTTGACTTTCCTAATAGCATAACCGGTATTGCTATTGGTAACTTCTAAATTTTGATTCATTTGTTCCTTGTCTCTTAGGGATTCCTCGAAAAAAGTGATTATTGGTGTTTATTCCATGATGATGTGGTTTGGAGTTGCAAGGCATTACCGTGATCCCGTTTGGCCAAATGTTTTCTTGCCATAAACCGTTTTCTGTTTCTTGGTTTACAGTGATCTTAAAAGATTTGTAAGTTTTTGTTTTTGAATCTGGATTAAGTGCATTCAAGTGTAAAAGAGAATGGTTTTATAAACAGATTGGTTTTAGAAGTCAAATCTTTTGAGTATGCTTTGATTGTATCAGTTAATTTATCATTTGTCCTTCTGATTGATTTAGTTTTATCTTGATGTTTTAAGTTGTTGTTGTTGTTGTTATTATTGGCACACGGATTTGTGCTTTTTTCGTTTGGGCTTGGGAGATTAGAGAGTTTGTGTTTTTGTCTAGGTTTGTTTTAATAATTTTATTATGACGAGTTTCCTTTTCTATTAAGTATATATTCTAAGATGACCAATAACATTAAAAATATTTTAAGTATGATCGAGGATCAAATGAAGTGATGAATTTGAAGATTATAACTAATATTTAAATTATTGTTCTTTTTTATTAATTGTTGAGAAAAAGAAAAAGTAGCTATTGTACGAAAGGGCAAAGAAAGAGACTTGTTGATTTTTTTCAAAGTGACGAGAGACTAAAATATTCGTTGAAATCATGAATTCACTCAATGACTAATTCCTTCGTTATCCGAAATAATTTACGAAATTTTCTGAAATTATATGTTTCATTATTCCATTTACTCCAAAATTCTCTATTTGAAATATTTGCCAGTTCCTCATCAGCTTCCACAATTTCTGATATAAGAGAATTAGCATATCCAGTTTCTTAGTGAGAGAAATGACACAATAAAATATTGCAAATAAAAATAATATCCATATAGAAATAAAATAATATCAAAAGGTCAATGCGATTAAACGGCATTTTTAAGGTTTTAATGAATAAAACTATCAATTTGTTTACGTTCAAATTTTGATAAATTATTCTTTAGAATTAAGATTATATTACTATCAAACTTGGTATGATTCATTTAAAACATTAGAAGTGTAAATAAGTTTACCGTCGTGTTATTTACTTGTCTAATATATTTTACGAGAGAAATGTATCTAATTCCTTCTTTTTCACTTTGATTGAACCACTGAACTTTCTTCGAACACTATAAAAATAATAATCATAATTTTTTCTAGACGTGGACTCTTATTAATCATTTTCAGGGTGTTTTGTAAAAAGTACCCATAGCTATTTTTCAAAGTTATTTTTTGGTGTCTACATTTTTACTTTCCTATCTGTATGCAGATATGTGTGTGTGTGTGTGTGTGTGTGTGTGTGTGTGTGTGTGTGCGTGCGTGCGTGCGTGCGTGCGTGCGTGCGTGCGTGCGTGCGTGCGTGCGTGCGTGCGTGCGTGCGTGCGTGCGTGCGTGCGTGCGTGCGTGCGTGCGTGCGTGCGTGCGTGCGTGCGTGCGTGCGTGCGTGCGTGCGTGCGTGCGTGCGTGCGTGCGTGCGTGCGTGCGTGCGTGCGTGCGTGCGTGCGTGCGTGCGTGCGTGCGTGCGTGCGTGCGTGCGTGCGTGCGTCCGTGCGTTATCCGTATGGTCCGTATTCGAGAAATTTGACAAATTGTAAAAAAAATATTTTTTTAATAAAATTGTTTAAATAAAAGTTGTTTGTAATAAAATTCTCTATAATTTTTATTCCATACATAATTTCTCTAAAATGGACCGTATTTGAGATATTTGAGAAAATGTGTAAATTTCGAATTTTGAAGAAAACTCAAAAACGGTTAAAGAAAAAAACATTAAATTTTAAACTTAAGATTTATTTCGGCCTGACGTGAAATGATTAGATTTTGGACAAAGTCGGAACATCTGGGGGGGTACTTTATGGGAGGCCGTTTTTATATTTTATGGAATATATCTGTTATTTATGTTTGGAGAAGAAAATTGTTCAAATAAAAGTTACTTCTAATATTATTATCTATAATTTTTGTTTTATGTAAAAATTTCCTGAAATGGTCCGTATTCGAGAAATTTGACAAAATGTGCAAAATTCTGATTTTTATGAAAATTGCTGAACTAAAAGTTGTTTGCGATATCGATCTCTTTAATTTTTGTTTATAAACGATTTTTCTAAAATGGACCGTAATGGAAAAGTGCTAAATTTAAATTTTTCAGTATTTTCGATTTCAATGAATATTTATAGAAAAATTTTTCGAGGTAGATGTATGTGGAAAGTCATGCGTTGGACACATCAGATTTTTAAATAAATAGAAATGCAATATACACGTTTGAAATTACAGTTACAGTTTTTACCTACCTTGGATCTTCTTTTTGTCTTAACTTTTGACACAAAAAAATGCAAAATTCAAAAGTAAATGTAAAGGTGGCATGACTGAAGTCTCGTGGTATTTTACAGAAAAAATAATGTAAACAATAGTATCATAAGTGCAGAAAATGAGCTTTAGCAGCCCACGGTTACTAGCTGATAGCTAAGGGCTGCTAAAGCGTTTTCTGCATGTGTGGCACACAATTGTTTTTCGCCTACCAAAAAAAAAAACAAAGAAAATGAAAATATAACAAACATTTTTAATTTTTTACAATATTTGGTCTTTCAGAAAGATAAGCAAGTACTACATTTTCAGTTAGGTTTTTGCTTTTTACTCTTTTTTCAGTTGTTAAACAATTCATAGTACTTTTCGTACCGTTCTCTTGACTTAGTAGGTGGTAAATTTAGAGAAACATTGTTGGCCTTCCTCTTGCAAGTTTGGTGGAGTATTTGTAAATTCTTCGTCACTGTCTGAATGACTATTCATGTTCACATAGAGTTACCCTGACCTTTAATCAAAATTTACGCAAAAAACTACAAAATCGGACTGTTATGAGTTTAGCAGCCCATGGGACGATATACGTTACTTTCGGTCATATTTTTAGGGTTGATATGATTCATTTTCACATATGGTAGGCGAAAAAACTTTTTGTGTCAATCGTCGGCCATTAAAAGCTCCGCCTCCACACCACAATCGTCACGATAACGTGGTATAAATCTGCACAATATCATACTTTCTTTCATAGTATAATGAACAATAAATGTTTTTTAGATATGATAGAATACAGAAGAAATTTAACTGCAGCCACTGAAAACTGGGGGCTTATCACTTTTAGGGAAGGACTGCTTACGCCCTCATTGGGATTTTACAATAGATATCAAGTAAAATTGGTAATGTTTCATGAACTAGGTCACTTTTGGTTTGGAAACTTAGGTAAGTGTTTGTCTCTTTTATTATATAAATATATCTTCTTGCAAAACCATTTTAATAAATAATATTTACTTAAAATATGTCGCAATGAAGCCTCTATTGAAATTTATCCTATTTTGCTCAAAAATATTATAGGGTTAAATACATGAGATATTAGTGAGCCCATTTTAAAATTGACATAAAATACAGAATGTTCCTGTTTTTTTTTTATCTGCCAGGCTAAAGCATAACACCTTGTAAGTGTATCCAAGAGAATTTACAAATGCATACGGCTGGCCAATTGATCTGGGATCAAGGCCATCAAACAAAACACACACACATGCACGCACTCACACACACAAATACATACAACTTGTATTTATGTATCGATAAGAAAAATTGAAACATATACACTGGTGGATTTCTAATGGTTGAATCCCCACAAATATTAAATACGGCCCTAAGGCACGCTTACCAAAATGGACTGTTTGGACTGTTTCCTGTAGACGCTGGCTGCAACATCTCCATGTGGACAATGAAAGCTAAACATTTTTTCTTAAACCACTTTAATGTGTACAAACACCCCAGATAGCACAGGACGTCCCATGGACGTCCTGATATGGTCCCTTGTTGGTCCGATTGGTCCCGGTCCTAAATAGGACGTCCACTGGACTTCCGATTACAGTGAATACTAGGACGTCCTTCGAAGGACGTCCTCTGGACGTCCTATTTTGGTCCCGTTTCGACAAAGCGTTTAGTTTTCGGTCCGAGTCCGGGACGTTAATGGGACGTCTGTGGGACTTTCTATGTACTAGCATCGTTGGTCTTTGAATCGATAACTTGAAATTCAACGTTTTGTTTTTGCAAGAGTATGAGGACAGAAAACCTAACCTATCATTTATTTTCAAATTAACAACAACACAATTTTCGGCCTTCAATAATTAACTTATATAAGTAAGTTAGATTAACGAAGAAAAAAAGAAGGTTATATAGTGTTATTTGTTATTTTTTGATGTTGGTGGTAAAGTGAAGTGAGTGTTTTGTGTTGAGGTGAGAATAAGTGATGTGACTGATGTGTATTGGCGGTAGCCGCTGGCGGAAAGAAAATAACTTAATGGCGGAAAGTTGGAACAAAACTAATTTTGACAAAATTATAAAACTCAATTATGTCGACACAAGCTAAAGGTAGGACCCAAGGTTTCATCTTGCCAGAGCTGTGTGGTAAATTTAATACATTCCTGTTTTTTTTTGTAAAGTGAAAACGTTTAACTCTAGCTAGTTTTTTCAGGATAAAAGTTGTTAAATAAAGTTCTTTTATTGTTTACATTTTTGTTATTATTACCCTTTATGGATTATGGTCAAATATCGTCCCTCGGACGTCTGATTTACGTCCCTAGGACGTCCTGCAAAGATCCCTATGACGACCTTTTGGGATGTCCCAGGGACGTTCCTAAGGGACATTAGGACGTCCATTGGACGTCCGATTGACGTCCCGGTACCAAAAGAGGACGTCCCTCGGACGTCCTTAATGTCCCTGAAGGACGTCTTTTAGACGTACATAAAACGTCCGTGTGCTATGTGAGACTGCACGACAAAACTTTGTACATATTTACATTTGTTTTTTACTAACTACTGCTTACATATTTAAGTACTAGGACTTTACATTATCATTGCTCAAAGAATTGTGTACTTTTTATGTATGGGAGAGACGACCCTTACTGTGAGAAAGCTCGAATCGCTCTGCCGGCTTTTTATGTTTTTACGAAAGAGATGGACATATGATTACGTCACTCCGACCAGTTTCGCGCGCGAGATGCCCGACTTTTGTCACGTATGGATCTGTAAATAACCTTTGAGAATGAACACCTGGCTTTTGAGCACAGGACCGTCTTTTGTATGTTTCAAAATTCTTTATTTTGGAACAACACACACTAAATGAACATCCGGTATACTTTTTAATAATACAATTATTATATTTTTATCATTAACACATCATCGAGACATTGAAATAAGGTTGATTGTACCTTCTAAGCCGATAATCCTAAAACAATCTTGAATTTGAAATATGTCAATGTTCTTCAGAATTTTTCATATTGTATTTTTCTCCATTTTTAGTAACAAATGATTGGTGGATGGATCTTTGGTTGCAAGAAGGATTCGCCACATACATGAGTTATAAATTGTTAGCTAAAGATAGCACAAAAAACAAAACTGTGGTAAGTATTGTAGAATAGATATTGATTCGCAGGAATTAATTGAAAATTATCAGAGAATAATCTATCTTATACCTCCAGAATGAAATAATATATTTCACCGTTTTTCTTCTTGTGTGTACACAAAAATTCAATCTTAAAAAAAATTCTAGTCAATAACTAGTATTGTATTAGGAGTAGTGCCATCTATGAGCAACATGAAAAATGTTACAGTTTATTTTTTTAAACAAAAATACTAATTGTTGCCAATTTTAAAATCGATAACCTACACAGAAAAAAAATCTTACCATGACAGTAAGAAAAAGTTAATTAAATATGCCTCACTCCTCATTAACCGCCATCCCTCTTTAACACAACAGGTATGGCTTAGGTACGATTCCTATTAAATTTTTGGTAAAGGAAGCAGATGTAACGAAACTGCGATTAATTTAAAAATAATTTTAGGAGTGTAGTTTGGCATCAATGTTTTATCAGATTATTGTGTTTCTGCCGCGGACACCAACGTTGAGGATTCAAAAATTTTGTAAATAATCCTATCGGTATTGGTTATACAGGGTGTTTCAAAAAGATTGGTCATAAATTATACCACATATTCTTGGGTCAAAAATAGGTCGATTAAACCGTACTTACCTATATACAAAAGTGCACCCAAAAATAGTTATAAGATAGTATAAGATAAAAATTTAAATGAATTTTTTTAACGTTGCTCTTAAACCGTTTGGCATTTTTTCATGACATTTTATATGACGTTTTAGAATACCATGACTAATAATACCGAGGAAGAGGTAATATTTTTTTCTTGATTTTTATGGGGTTTTGGAGGGGCAGTCGCTTTTTTCTCCACTCAACTTTTTTGTACTATAAAATTTAATTACAAATGAAACGCCACTGGAATGCAACATCCATTTGGAAACTTGTTTGGCTCTTAGTATTTGTTTGTAAAAAATTTAGTTTAGACGATACAGTCATTTAAAATGACAACTCAAAAATATTCAATGGAAATTCTACGTATGAAAAATATCAAAATCAAGTTTATTTTTAAATTACAAACTAATGTCATCAAAATAAAAAAAAATATATTTAACAAATGTTTAAAATTACATTCTACTCCTGTATACACTTACTACATAGTTTTAACAATGAAAATCGAATTTTGATATTTTTGCATACGTATAATTTACATTGAATATTTTTAAGATGTCATTTTAAGTGGCTGTATCGTCTAAACTAAACATTTTGCATACAAATACTAGGAGACTAAAAAGTTTTCAAATAGATGTTGCATTTCAGTAGCGTTCGATTTTTAATAAAATTTTATATTACAAAGAAGTTGAGTAGAGAAAAGGGTGGTGACACCCTCCAAAATCCTACAAAAATATATTGCCTCTACTTCGATTTTGTTAGTCATGGTATTCGAACACGTCATATAAAATTTCATGAAAAACTGTCAAACAGTTTAAGAGCAACGTTAAAAAAATTCATTTAAATTTTTATCTTATACACCCTGTAACTATTTTTGGGTGCACTTTTGTATACAGGTAAGTACGGTTTAATCGACCTATTTTTGACCCAGGAATACGTGGTATAATTTATGACCAATTTTTTAGAAACACCCTGTATATCTATGCAAATATTACTGTGAAGCGGTCAGCATAATACCTATGAGAAATAAATTAAACAATTATTAAATATTAGTTACCTTTATCATTTACGGTTTAAAATACGACATTTGTGAAATGAATAACCCTTTTTCTCTAAAACTGATTTATTTTTTATTTTTAGGTAGACGAAATGAGAACGTTCAGTTTTAATGATTATTTTGAAACTGACATCACTACTAATACACCAGCAATAGTCACTTATTTGGACAAACCGGAGAAAATAGAAACCGTTTTCAATGACATAGTTTATTATAAGGTAAAGTCAGTCCAGAATTATATACTAACTTTATTTATTTATTTATTTAAACGGGATCAACCCCATTACAAAGCAAAATACATATAAATAATACAGATAACTGTAAATAAATTAAATTAAAAAATACAAGTAAGAGAGAAAATTAAGTCAAATAAGTTTTAGATTAATGAATTCATTTTAAGTATTGCGAATCCGTCTGTAATATTTCATTTTTACTCCAGTGTATTCGTACAGATTGCCTTAAATTTATTAAAAGAAATGTGGATGAATGTGTTTCAACCAAAGAGGTTAGAAAGGGTAGAGGTAACATAGGAAGCATTTCTCGCTGCGCGAATTTTGCCAAAACCGAAAAACTGGGTGGAAGGAGTAGGGAGATGTTCTGGGCCGGACTTAAATATTTGTATTGTAGTACCTAATTTTGGTGGGTAATTAAAAGATGAAAAATTATGAGACGTTTGTTTGACTTTATTTGTTAGCACGATTCATGTATGATGAGGGCAATAACACTTTATCAATATATAACTAGCTAAGGGCCGATTTCACCGTTGTGTCAAACGAAGTTTAAATTATTAACGAAGATTAAAATGACATTGTTAATATAAAAATGTCATTTTAAACTCCATTTAGTAATTTAAACTTCGTTTTTGTTAATATAAAAATGTCATTTTAATCTTCGTTTAGTATTTTAAACTTCGTTTAACAAAACGGTGAAATCGACCCTAAGTAAAAGTTTATAAGTACTTTTTGCTCGAATTACACACAAGATTTTTTCTACGATCACACCAAAATAAAATAAATAACTAAATTTTATTAGAAATGGGTTACCTTTTCGTTCGTTATAATATTTTAAGTTTATTGGACATAGGCCTACTGTTTTGGTACTTATATCCTGGTAATTATTTATGATTTAATTATTTACGGAAAATACCGTTCAATGAATTAAAATATTAGAAAGTCAATTAATAGTTATTTATGTAACCAGTTACGATATGCCTTATTTGGTGTAACGAGTAAATATTTGCAAAACGAGCGGAGCGAGTTCCCGCAACATGAACGACTTACACAAAACGGCATTTTGTAACGTGTTTATATACAAGATTTTTTCTAATTTTGACTTGATTATTTATAAAATTGTGTTGAAAAATGATTCACCATCATTCTTGTGTAGATACTTTCAATCAAATATTTTAGAAAATTGTTGTATTTGATTGCCCTACGACGTTTTTTTTCAATAGTAATAATAAAAATTATGGACATGTGCAGTGTTGCCGATCTAATTTTTGACATTACCCGCGAGAAATTTGAAAAAAAACATGTTTACCCATTATCCTTAAAGAAGTACGTCAAAATTTTACCCCCAACATTTCTGGGCAGTTTTCAATAACGGTGTTATTTTAAAAATTAAACGCAATTTACAGCTTTTCTTTTTTGTTTTTAAACGTAATGTCATATTTTCAAATGTGAAATGTCACTATTCATTGCCTCTTTTTCGATATTTGGTTTTTTCGATTTTTCGTTTCTTGGATTTTTGGATTTTTCGATTTTTTATTTTTAGATTTTTCGATTACTCGATTTTTCGATTTCTCAATTTTTCGATTTCACGATTTTTCGATTTTTCAACTTAGAAACCAAAAAGAGGCAGTTTTATTTATTTTCATTTCGTAACTGGTGACATAATCAACTTTTCGTAATCAGTTGCATAATGTTCTACTTTATGCAAATGTCCATATAAATAATTATTAAATCTATTTAAGCCAAACATTATTGCAAGGACCTCTCTTTCAATTTGGGAATAGTTTTGTTCGGACTTTGATAAGGTACGCGAAGCAGAAGCTATAGATTTTTCAATATTTTTTTTTTTTTTTTTTCAAAAACATGACATATTATTATCATGGCCCTTATTGCCACATTTGATGCATCTACGAATAATTTAATCGGAAACTCAGGCTGAAAATGCACAAGAGCATCATTTATTTTTGATTTATTTCAAAGATTCCTTGCAAAAATTATCCCAAATCCATTTCACCCATAAAAAATTAAATAAAAAAAAGTCCTAAAGCAAAATCATATCCTCCTTCCTGTTAGTGACTTAAAAAAATTACTTCCCAAAAAACGGTCCTCAAGCCAGGTTCCTCCATTTTGTGGCGATAGTACTGTTTTTTTAATGTGATTATTTTCTTCGCGGAAACTTTGGCTTTACACTTTGAGTAACACTGTTATAGAGAATTACTAAATAAATAGTTTTGAGAAAACTATTGAAACCAGTTGTGAAGTTTGAAACGAATAAATTGGCAATGAAATTGATATTTTTGTATTTGATTGTATGTTTCTCTTTTCACTTCATAAAAAAAGATTCCCTATGAAACAAGAAATAGTAAACAGTTTATAATAATAACCTTTATTTGCTACTTATAACATGTACCAATGACCAAGTCCGATTCTGTTTATTTTCAAATCAACAAATATGGACGTCGACAGAATCTTTAAAAATTAAATATCTCACCGAAATAAATATAAGTTTCTTTTATCTCCCTCACATTTCGCAGGTTTATTATAAATAAAGCTTTTTACAACACATCTTGGCATTTTCAACTTTAGTTTCCAAAATTTAAGTCACTAAAATACCAAATTAATTCTCGTTGACACATTAAATTTGGATGGACAACGGTCTGACATGTGATGTTCTCAACTGTGATTGGTGGGTGTGAATCATTTTGAAATGGGATTATGCGCAGTGTCTTATGTTCCATCTAAGGTTTGTATAATCTAAGGTTTCAACCTAAATTGTAGTTTCGAATGGACTGTATATAGAAAACGGGAAAAATATATCCTTTTCTGTATTTGATGTTTATTTGACAAAAGTAATAAATTGTATATCAATGACAATCTCTATGTTCAGTGGCGGAACAAGTATCGAGGTAAAAAGAATACAACACATCTGCAACAAAATGGCTGTAACTTCAAGATTCAATTGATTTATTACCCTCAATGTTCTTTCAATAAGTAAATGCATGCCATAGTTTGTATTGTGAAATGGAACATGGAACATATTTAATTGCCTAAGGCCTCTATCTGGAATATTCAAAGAAATCATTTCTAAGAGTTCCGGGCATATGACTAGACCAGCCATGCGGCCCTCCAAGTTTTTTTGTGACCCGCAACACTATTATTGGTCGCAGCGCTAAATAGCATGCTAATTTTTAAATAAACATTTGGAATTTTGTGGGGTTACTGCAAAAAAAGATAGCTCCACTTTTGGAATTTTCGAGTTAAGTAGGTACACTTTCTACAAGTGTGAAAGAAATCTATATTCATGAAAACAGATAGCCAATAAACACTAACTCCATGTTAATACATTAACAATATGGACAAACAAGATGGAGTGGCGTTTATACCAAAACATAATCATAACATTGTGTTCAATTGATAAATGTGTCTACCAAAACCAGATAATAGGCATATAACTTATTTTTGCTAAATATATTTAGTCCGATTCTTAATAGCGTTCCTGCCAAAGCAAGATAAAGGCCAGAACCAATAAGGTTAAAACGTACCTGTATTTCGAAAATCACTTAAATTTTTTTTAAGTAATTTATGTGATTTTACTGAAAATCCACCTTAATTTTATACAATGATCTTTTTTCTCGCCATTTCGGGTTGTGAGCGACGAATTGATTTCGACCATGATTTTAGATGATGATTTTGGAATTTTCGAGAAAATGTGTAGTGATTTCGGTGATTTCCAGTGAAAACGTACCAGTATTTCGGGAGTGGTTTGCCGCTACTTATATTTGTTGAATGTGTTTGTTGAAATATTACAATATTGTGCCCACGCCATTTGTTTTTTTTTACAAGAGCCATCTCTGGCTTTTCTTGATTGTTCCTAAATCCACGAGATGATTACGTCACCCTTTCTTTCCACGATACAGCTAACCTTAAACAACCACTAGATAATAACACGTGATGTTCGAATCTTCGTGGTGAATGAGTGATTTGTCAAGATGTAACGGGTGATTGGTCAAGCTGTAACGAGTGATTCGTCAAGCCGTAACGAGCGAATCTTTATGTGAAAATTCGTAAATAAAAGTATTAGTGGTAATAGGCGAATATGAATTTTAACGATACTTTCTAATAGACAACGTATCGAAAGATTCAGCTATCCTAAATACATTCCACCAGAAAAATAGATTTAATTTATCAATGAGCGAGGGTGGTGAATTCGGCTTATATGCCAAACTCGCACAGTATTTATTCAGAGGGATGCATGAAAGGATGAAATAAAGTGTTGAAAATACTTACAAAAAAGTGCAAGAAGAAGATTTACTAAAATTTTGCAAAATCAGATGAATTTCACCATTATTATCACAATCTACCTGTATCCAATGTTACTGAAACTTCGACTGAAGATAGTGAAACATACATTGAATTATTATTAGTATGAGCTAAAATAAGCTAAGTAACGTTTTTTCTCTCTTTTTTTACCAATTATTGATGGATATTAGTTTATACTTTATGAACAATGTTTTCAATATCTTCTTCATTGAAGTTAATAAACGGTTTGAAGCTTTTACTGAATTTTTATTCAGTTTTAAACGTTTGAATAGTGTTTTATCGAAACTCTAAAAATGTGAATTATCTTGTTTTTGCAGTACCACAACAGGATATATTTATATTTTGTGTTTTATTTATTAGAGGTCCCCACTAACTAATTTTAGATAGGACATCTATCTATCAATAAACTAAGAAGAAGGTCATCATCCAAAAATATTGCGGACCGTGTAACATAGCACATATACGAATGTGGCCCGAAGGAAAAAAAGGTTGAGTATGGCTGGACTAGACCATTTAATAATCTATAGATAAAATTCAAATCTGATATAAGGCTGGCTCCTCTACTTAAGTCGGCTCCTCTACTTAAGTCGGCTCATATTCATTTCATTTAAAATCCTAGTATAAATGTGATCGGTTACCCGAATATTTAATTTGAAGGTACAGTATCT